TATATATATATATAATTGATTAGTAGTATTTCGAGCCAAAACGAGCCGAACAAGATCAAACAAATATTTGTTCATGTTCGGCTCGTTAACTTAGTGAACGAGCCAAATACGAAATGTTCGCGAACGAGTCATTTTGACAGCCCTAGTATTTACATATATAACATAGAAATTCAAATCTTCAACATCACATAAAAATATCATCATCACTATCTATTTAAATGAAATACACCATTAACTTGCAGGTCTTAGGTGGTCTTCTGTTTTTCAAGATCATAATCACAAGTTACACACTTACACAGAAGACTGCCTTCACCATAAATTTTTTTTTTTCTCTCATCTTCCATAACATCATTGTTCCCTCTATTTTTCATTAAATCATACTGCAAACTTTCCATATTCTTAGTATTCTCCATCAACATGATTGCAATGTCACACACTGCCTATATTACACTAACGTTGTAATACCAAAGAATGTTTATCCGAAATAATGTGGTACACATGGGCCCAGCATGAAAATTTTACATACGGAGGTCGGACACAGCTTTGTGTCCCGATTCCAATAAAATTAAACCAAGTGTATAAAATTTAAAAAACGCTTGCACTTCGACTAATAAATTTATAATTTTTTTAAAGGAGGGTCCACTGAAATACACTTGGAATTGTGCTATTGGAGTATGCGTCCGGATTCCCCAACACGGGTCAAAAATGCTATCAATGTATCTTCTTTCAAATAAATAAATAACATGTATATTGAATACGTTGAATGGATTAAGTGACATAGTAATGATAGCAATTGAGGAATTACAAAGAGACATACTTCTAAGGAAGCTTTAATTTTAAAAAATATAATCAAAATTTGCCTTTAATGATTAATATATACAGTATGTCTCATTTTATTAATGTTTAATTTTTGTTTCTTTTGAGGAAGAACAAATATTATTATGCATATAATATCATAATCAATATATACTTGAGTCTTATATTTTCAATAATAGACGAGTTTCGTGCCGATGTTGTCACTGTATCATAACAAGCCACTTTCTTCTAATTTCCATTTTCTCCTTATAGTTGTCATGTCCAATTCGTTGTAATGTGCTTCGAAAAAAAGATTTATCCATTACTTGAATGAATTGATTGATAGACCTTTCTATACGAGAATATTCATCAATAAAAGATTCTCTTTAGATCTATCTACATCTTCAATAATTTTGTTCGTCGTATTTTTTTTTCCTTTTTTAAAGAAAGGCAAGTTAGGACTTATTTAGCTTCTTAGCTATAGTTTCTCACCATTCGTCAATTAGTGATTTTGTCTTAATATCCTTGATGAAAGTAAGTTAGTATATTATTATTGTCAGTATAAAAAATAATTTAATTCTCTTATAATTGTTGAATAATCTATATTCACAGTTACCTTGTGATATAAAACTTGCTCTGGGTAATATTTTTTCATGTCTCGTGCTATTTGAATATGATAATACGTACTACTTTCAAATCACTATGGTTTGAAGTCAAGTTGCACCAAACCACCAACGCACGATAGAAATTAAATTCGCATCAATCAAAAGTAGAACTAATAAAACTAAATAATTGCTTCAATATTTGGTGTCGAGTTCAAGCTATATTTTTCATGAAATGATTTTCCAGTAAGCAATAGCTTTCAATTGATTTAAATCAGCTCAAATGGGTACTTTAGATTCAATTCGAATTGGTTCAATTTAACATAAATTAAAGACAAAGAAGAGGATTTAAATCTTATAAATCTAAAATCGACAAATGTTATATTAGACTACTCATTGGAGATCAACTTGAATATCTCCATCATTAATTCATAGGAGACAATTGCACATACATCTGAGCATAATGGAATTTGCAAATAAACAAATTTTAAGCCAATAATTGCAAATCAGAATACCTTTTTTTCCTCTTTTGCGTCAGCATTATGTTGCAAGCACTTATAACCAACTTTTACACACCACCACCACAACAACAACAACAACAACAAACTTTTAACCCACTAAGTGGGGTCGGTTACATGAATCCTTTTTATCAATTCCATCCTGTTGAGTGTCATATTTTCATTTAAGTTTAATAAATTAAGATCATTTTTTATACAATATGTCCAAGTCTTTCTAGGTCTACCTCTGTCTT